GGGGCAGGGACTCCTCTTCTTCCTCCTCTTCGTCCTTCGCCTTTGGTCCCACGGCCGCCACCACCGTTACCGGCTCTGAAGCTACTTCGACAGCCGCCATCTTTCCGGAAAAGCCGCCGCACGTCAGCGGCGCTCCCTTGTTGCCATGGCTACGACGCATGGGCTGGGAAACGCGGGGGGGCACGCGGGGGGCGCGCGGGAAGGCGGGGCTTAGACGTCAGGGAGTGGGTCGCGGAGGGCGGGCCTTCCCCGGGGATTTCGTTCGGACCAATAATTTTTTTTTTTAATTGAGCGCCTTTTGTGAATCTGGTGCTGAATGTACTAAGCGTCGGAGAAGCAGGTGCATGGAGCCGCGGACGAGTCACTCCGTGTGTGTATAGTGTCACGCCCTTGCCCTGGTCCCGGAGGGTGGGTCGTCTCTGCCTAAATGTGTAAGTTTCTGGAGACGTGCAGGGCTGCAGAGGCTGCAGGGGCCAGGCTTTCCCACCGTCCCCCGGAGTGCGGCTCCCTGGTAAGGTCGCGTCTCTCCTGCCTCTGCAACCTTCCGCCGACCATATAAGGAGAGGCAGCTGCCGGGGCGTCACTCACCAGGATCTAAAGATAGTGACCCCGGACTCGGACTCCCAACGCCACTGGGCTGCGGGGGCCGCCATGGCACGGTGAGTGTTTCCGGCCACCCTTTCCCCTTTAGATTTCTTGTCCCACATGTTCTGGGCGCTCCAGGTTCTGCGAGGTCCCATGGGAACCCCAGGCTCCAGGTCTCTGTAACTTTGGGGTGGTGAGGGGCAGTGCCATCTCCATGGCCTCCATAACTCCTTACCTTTCACTCTCACACTTTTGATTTTCCCCAGGTTCACCCTCGCCACTCACACCCATTTCCATCACTCCCATCCCACCTCCTCCTGTCTCTTGTAGCTCCATGTTGACAGGGCGGTAGCATAAAATATCCCTGTATTTCCCCCTTCTCCCATCTTTCCAAATGCTCTCAGTCTTCCCTCTCCCACCCCTGTGAAGCCCCACCTCAACTCCTCTTCAGGCAGCATGCCCGGACCCTGTGGTATGACAGGCCCAGGTACGTGTTCATGGAGTTTTGTGTTGAGGACAGCACCGATGTCCACGTGCTCTTAGAAGACCACCGCATTGTGTTCAGGTAATGGCCTCCCATTGGTTGAGTCTGGCTTCCTGGGAACCTTTCCCTTCTCTTAATTCCCCCACACTCAGCCTCCCACATCTCTTCATCTGCATTGTCTCCTCAGCTGCAAGAATGCGGATGGAGTGGAGTTGTACAATGAGATTGAGTTCTATGCCAAGGTGAACTCCAAGGTAAGGATGGGGTGGGACAGTCAGGTTTGGGTGGGAAGGCTGCCTGGGAAATGGGAGATTCATTCTCTTAAGACTCTTAAGCATGAGGCTCTCTATGCGGCAGGACTCCCAGGATAAGCGCTCTGGCCGCTCCATTACTTGCTTTGTGAGGAAATGGAAGGAGAAAGTGGCCTGGCCTCGGCTCACCAAGGAGGATATCAAGGTAGGGAGTGGCCTGCTCTTTTTCCTGTGCTCTCTGTCTATGTACCAGAGCAGGTACTCAAATTAGCTCTGGGAATCACCCTTGCCTCCTTCCCCACCAACATTCAGTCACTCACCAGATCCTGCCTATTTGACTACTTGGATAGGATTGAATCCATTATTTCATATCTACCTAATTCAGGCTTCATCCATGACTGGGTGAAGTTTGTTGTGTAATTTCAGCCCCACCCCCAATCTGTCTAAAGCATCCCTCCCATTATGATCTGTTGGAAACATATATTTGAGCCCTGGTGAGTGTGAATGTTGTCCTATGCACCAAAAGGTGGCAGGTTCGATTTCCTGTCAGGGCACATGCCCGGGTTTTGGGCTTGATCCCCCATAGGGGGCATGCAGGAGGCAACCAATCAATGTTTCCTCCTCTCTCTCTCTTCCTCCCTCCCTCTCTCCCTCAAATCAATAAAGACATATTAAAAAATAAATAAAACACATTTGACCTTGTCACTCCCCTACTTAAGACCCTCCAGTGGCTTCTTTCTCCTAAAGGTTGCAATTTGGCCACTTGCTGGTCGGATCTGGCTCTCAAATTTATTTGAGCAGTCTTCACAGTGTTAAAAATTATTTCCATTGCCTACCGATATTTAGAAGTTTTGATTAGTTGCTGACATATAAAAATGTGGAGAATTTGCCAAACCGGTTTGGCTCAGTGGATAGAGCGTCGGCCTGCGGACTGGAGGGTCCTGGGTTCGATTCCAGTCAAGGGCGTGTGCCTTGGTTGCGGGCACATCCCCAGTGGGAGGTGTGCAGGAGGCGGCTGGTCGATGTTTCTCTCTCATCGATGTTTCTGGCTCTCTGTCCCTCTCCCTTCCTCTCTGTGGAAAATCAATAAAATATATTTAAAAAAAAAATTTGGAGAATTCACCTACAAATCCAGATTATTAGCTTCTCTCAAAAAATGGTGATTTTGGCCACATTGGTCTAAAATTCCCAACTGCCTAGAGTTGGAGCTTTTTTCCCCCCTTTTTAATTTTTTTTATTGACTTTAGAGAGAGGAAGGGAGAGGGAGAGAAAGATAGAAACATCAATGATAAGAGAGATCATTGATTGGCTGCCCCCTACTGGGGACCGAGCCTGCAACCCAGGCATGTGCCCTGACCAGGGATCAAACCATGACCTCCTGGTTCATAGGTCGATGCTCAACCACTGAGCCACACCAGCTGGGCCTCACTTGCTTCTTGATGGCTGGGACTATGTATTAAACATTTCTATAATCCCAGTGCCAGTCTCAGAGTCTGACCCATAGTATCTGTTCAATAAATATCTGCTAAATGAATTAGTAAATAACTTTTTTCTCTAAGTGTGGGAACTTGGGACATGGGCCTTGAAGGGTTGTCCCTGTCTTTCTTGGTTGATTCTATGATACTTTATGACACAGTCATATTTCCAGATGTGTTATCTTCCCAGTCAATTTGCTCTTGGAGGGCAGAATTTCTATGCTTTTCCATACCCTAAACATTGTGTTTAATAGGCTCTTGGTAAGTCTTTATGGATGATGTGGCTATTTGGAGACGGGGTTAGTTAAAGGAGGCTGTTGGGAAGACTGCTCCCATTGACCTTCCCCAAGCATGCTCCCATGCACACACCACACTTTCCTATGCACTTCTGCTGCCCTCTTGGCCTGTGACTCTCCGTGCTTCTTCTTTCAGCCAGTGTGGTTGTCTGTGGACTTTGATAACTGGAGAGACTGGGAAGGGGATGAAGAGGTGGAGCTGGCTCAGGTGGAACATTACGCAGAGGTAATGTCATTTTCTGCTCATCTTGATCATTCTCTGAGTCTCTGTCTGGAGAATTGTCATCAGGGCTAAGCAGAGATATATGAGCTCCTTAGGCCGGCTGCTGATTGGTGCTGATATTCTTTATGTATTTTGTGCAGTGTTTAGTAGGGATGGGAAAAATGAATATTCTATTCATAGAGTAGAGCCTGTGCTCTGAAGAAGTTTGGTAGAACCTTTTTCTACTTTTCTGTAATTTTTGTTCGTGTGTGTGTGTGTTTTCTTGAACTAGATAACCTCATGGGAAGCTCAAATTAAGCAGTATAAAATTCAAATTTAAAAAATCACTATTTTCACCCTGGTGAGTGTTTCTAAATGGTCAGAGCATTGGCCCAAGCACGAAGGGTCGAGAGTTTGATTCCTGGGTTGCAGGTTGGGGCGATTGTGGTTGGGGCGAGTGCATGCGGGGGGCAACCAGTCCATTTCTCCCTCCCTTCCTCCTCCTTTCACTGAAAAGTGATGGAAAAAATATGCTCAGGTGAGGATTAGAAAAAAAAATCACTATTTCCCAATAAATTATTTGGTTTCAGAATTTCAGTACTAGTTATTCAAGTTGCAAAAACACTAGCAGACCCTGACTTGGATTAGTAAGGAGAGTGCTCTGTGTGTTTTTAAATTTCTTATTAAAAAGGGGATCAATGTACTTTCCTCTAATTCATTCCACTGGTGTGTTAGGGGCTTTAAACATAGGGCAGTTGTCTGGCTGGACCATTCTCCTATGGCCCATTAGTATGCAAGTTGCTCTTCTCTTGTGACTACTTTTCTTTTCCCTCTAGCTTTTGCAGAAGGTCAGCACCAAGAGACCTCCCCCTGCCATGGATGATCTGGATGTAAGTAAAGCCTGCCCCTCAACCCTTCAGTTTCCATTTTGCTCTTAAAAATAAGATACAATACTAGAAAGCTCCTGTCTCAGTCCCTAGCACATAGCAGTTCTCAGTGCATGTTAGCCAAATTTGATTATTTTTTTTTTTAGCCAAATTTGAATTTGACAAAGAAGAATGAATGTTCTTCTCCAGGCTTAAGAAAACCCCAGTAAGCCCTAGCCGGTTTGGCTCGGTGGATAGAGCGTCAGCCTGCGGACCGAAGGGTCCCAGGTTCGATTCCGGTCAAGGGCACATGCCTGGGTTGTGGGCTTGGTCCAACCTGCAGGAGGCAGCCAATCAATGATTCCCTCTCATCATTGATGTTTCTATCTCTCTCTTCCTCTCCCTTCCTCTCTGAAATCAATAAAAAAATATATATATATAAAAAGAAAACCCCAGTAAGTGCTCTCCTTCTTGGGAGCACACCCACACCTTTCTCATCTCCTTCTTCTCCCCAGGCATGTTACCTTATTTTTCTTTCTCCTAAGCTTCAAGGGCCCTTCTTGGCCTCTGTAACTTTTTTCTTAAACCTATTTCTTCTATGGCTCACTTCTTCTACCTCTGTGGCTTTCTAAATAAACCTTTGCTTATAAGAAAACACAAAAACAACACCAAACCCAGCAAGACCCTCTTCACTTGCATCTCTCCCTCTGCTTCTCCATCCTAGAGCAGTTCTGGCCCTGTTGACTATCTTTACAGTTGTAAGGAGCAGTAGCATTAATTGAAATTCTGAAACTAAATGATACATGACACCGTGCTGTTTATTCAGTACTAGTGGTTTATTTTCCAAAGTTTAAATCCTTCCATATTAGCCTCCCAAGAAGTTGTATGACTCAGAAAATCACAAAAGAAAACTTGGAGAGCAGAAGGGAGTGAGCAGTGTTTGTGAACACAAATGTTCACTCTTTCCTTATTCTACAGGTAATGTTTGTCTTTTTCTTTTTTTCTAGGATGATTCTGACAGTGCCAACGCAACAAGTAGTTAAGTTCTGCACGGTAGACCTGTGGAGGAAGCTGTGGCTGTCTTCCAGTCATTCTGACAAGCTAGGGCCTGGGCCTTTGTCCAGCTGTTTGGCGGAGCACCAAGGTCCTCTGGGATCTCAGATCTTTCCTCGAAGCTCTTAATTAAGTGTCCTCCTTCATGCTTTATTTCTTTTCCCTAGACACTTGACTATGGCTGCTACATCAGATGGCAGAATAGCAGAGGAGTAGAGTGGTGGGACTGCTGACTTCCTGCCAACTAGCTATAATCTCTATGTTTGGGCTGCTCATCAGGGCTCTCGAGTATGTGTGTATGTGGTAGAGCAAAATCCAAAGAAGTAGCATATAGATTATAATAAATCTTTAGGAACTGGTCTATATCTCTCCTGCTTGTACTTTTTCCTCCTGGAGGCAAACCTCTTCTCCCCCTATAGTTACTCTTTAGGGGAGGGGTGGGTGTCAGAGATCCTGGCCCTCATCGCTGAGGTTGAAAGAAGAAATCTATTGGGAGCAGGTTGTAACCAAGCTGGGGGACTTCCCCATGCACAGATCTATGCTCTGATTTCTCAGAGCAGAAACCAGCCTTTCACCATAGGGGTAATACTGCCACTCCTAGAATCAGCCAGAAGCCCACCTCAGCTTTCTGCACACTCCAGAAGTCTCTTTATACTTTTAAAGCTGACATTAATTCTTAAACTAAAAAAAACCCCAAACAATTACTAACACAAAGTTATATTTGTATTATGTTTTACAATTTACTATTATCTCATTAAATAATTATATATTTTCTTCATAGGTCATCAATCAGGTAACAATAAGTGGCAAAGTTGTGACTTGAATTTGTATAGCATGTCCCTTTATCCACAGTTCTGAAAACCAACAACAACAACAAAAATTGACACCAAAACTCATCTGACAACAAAACATGACCTAAAATGATGTGAGGGTGTTTATAGTGTTTATTCCATTTAGTACATTTATTTCTCAGCATAAATATGAATGATTTGATTACATGATGTTGTTCTTGAGTTCCAAATGGAACGTGTTAGGTAACAACACATAGAGTATGCTCTCCATTACTGCCTAAAATCTGAGAAATCCTAAATTCTGAAACATCTGGAGTCTCCAGGTTTTTTATTAGCTGATTTGAAAGAGCAGAAAGAAAGTTAACTAATTTTTAAGCAGTTAAAGTTTTAAGGCACTGTCCAGCACGAGTCACATGTACTTGAAATATGGCTGCTCCGAACTGAGATGGGAATGTAAAATACACACCAGGTTTTGAAACTTTTATACGGGAAAAACTCACTTATTTTTACATACCTATTACATGATGAAAGTATGGATATGTTGATTTAAATAAAATATTAAATGCGGCTTGCATTATTTCTATTGGGCACGCTGTCGTGCCTCCAAGCCCGCACCATCCCCACCTCTACACATCCTGGGAGCCCAACCGGCTACGCTAAGTGCCCCGACAAGTTCAGGACAGTTTTGTCCTCTGGTCCTTTACAAAGGAACGTCTGCAAATCGCGTTTTCAACAAATTTGTCCCAACCACATCCCATTCCTCGCTTTCTCGCTTCTGCGCAGAGACGCGTCCGCACTGAGGATTGTCCCGCGCGGGCCTCCGTCCGCCCCAGGCGCTCCAGCGCGCGCGGATCCCGCTTCCCGGGGACAGCGGCGGCGATGGCGTTCCGGTGTCAGCGGGACAGCTACGCCCGGGAGGTGCGGTGCGGCCGCCGGGCGAGGGCCCCGATGCTGCCGAGCAGAGGGGGCGCTGCGGGAAGAGGGCGCGCTGTGGAGGGAGAGCCGAGCTAGATTCAGTTTATTCGTTCGTCCCTCTCTGTTCAGTTCACCACCACCGTGGTCTCCTGCCGGCCCGCGGAGCTGCAGACCGAAGGAAGCAAAGGCAACAAGGACGTGCTGAGCGGCTTCCAAGTGGTGCTGGAAGACACGCTGCTTTTCCCCGAGGGCGGGGGACAGGTACCCGAAGCCCCGCATTCCTTGCTGCCGGGGTCTCTGTGTCCAGGAGTTAGGGTGAGCCCTGCCTCCCACTGCTGCTGATCGGCATTTCTTTCCCCAGCCTGATGACCGTGGCACAATCAATGGCATTTCTGTGCTGAGAGTGACCCGCCGGGGGGCCGAGGCTGACCATTTCACACAGACACCCTTGGCCCCTGGGACTGAGGTCCACGTCCAGTTGGACTGGGAGCGGAGGTTTGACCACATGCAGCAGCATTCAGGTAGGTGGGGCGGGATCGGGGACCTATCGGAGGGGCAGTTGCTCTGTATGGGATGCCACGATGATTGAGATACGGTTTGGGTTCTCTAGGAGTTAGCCTTTTGGAAAAGTCAGACGTATGCAGAATCAGCTCCGATTGAGGCAGGTTATGATAGGTGTTATAAAAGCAATATGAGCAATTAAAAGTATTAGAATATGGTCCTGGCCGGGAGGTCCAATTGGTAGAGCATTGCCCCAACACACATACTAACTAGAACCAGCTAATGAATGCATAAATAAGTGGAACAACAAATCAATGTGTTTTTTTTTCTCTGTCTCTCTATCTTTCCCCCTTCCTCTTTCTTAAATCAACGAATACAAATTAAAGTATTAGAATAACTGCTGGATTTGAGCATTACCAACTTCCCTTATTGGTATCTTTATCTGGATGTGTCATAAACTTCTTAAACATCTAGAATGGTATTTAAAAGTCATCCATTCGAGCCAAAACCGGTTTGGCTTGGTGGATAGAGCGTCGGCCTGCGGACTGAAAGGTCCCAGGTTCGATTCCGGTCAAGGGCATGTACCTGGGTTGCGGGCACATCCCCAGTGGGAGATGTGCAGGAGGCAGCTGATCGATGTTTCTCTCTCATCGATGTTTCTGGCTCTCTGTCTCTCTCCCTTCCTCTCTGTGGAAAATCAATAAAATATATTTAAAAAAAAAAAGTCATCCATTTGAGAAAAAAAAGGAATAAACAAAAAAAACAACAGCAATGAATAAAAGTCACCCATTCCAGCCTTGGCTGGTGTGGCTCAGTTGGTTGGGTGTTGTCAGTGCCATGAAAGGTCACGAGTTAGATTCCCAGTCAGGGTACATGTCCAGGTTGTGGGCTTGGTTTCTGGTCGGGGTGTGTTGTGTGCGGGAGGCAACCGATTGCTGTTTCTCTCTCTCTCCCCTCTCCTTTCCTCTCTCTCTCAAATCAATAAAAACATTTTTTTTTAAGTCACCCATTTTCCCACACTTGGTCTTCCATTAGTGTTCTCTATATTCAGTGCATGGCATCAGCAGCCACCTAGTTTTTTGAAATCCTGGAAGTTAGTACAGACACTCTTTGGGGATAGCCAGTCAATCACTAAGTCCTGTCGGTTTATTTTCTAAATATTCTCTATTTCCTCCCACTGTCAGTGTGATCATCTTAGGCCCAGCTCTCCTTGTCTTTCCCCAGACCTCTGTAATAGCCTCCTGGCTAGTCTCTCCACATACAGTCTTGCTTCTTGCAGCCTATTCTTCGAAGAGCAGCCAGAATAATCTTTTAAAAATTAAGATTGGATTATGTCACTCTCCTGCTTAACGCTCTTCAAAAGCTTCCTGTTGCTCATGATAGAGCTGTACTTACCATGGCCCCCAAGCCCTACCTGGGCTGGTGCTTGCCTGATGCTCCAGCCTCAGCTGGTCTCCCTCCCTCCTGCTCCCAGCATTCTGGCCATGCTGGCCTTCCTCTCGATTCCTTGAACACATCCTGCTTCTTTCCTCCTTCAAGGCCTTTGGCTGTCTATTCCCATTGCCTTCACAGTTAATTCCTTCTGTTCTTCCTCCTCTCCTCCTGTCATCAGTCAGAGATAATGCTGTATCTCTAGCATCAAGCCCTGTGCCTTGCATGTGGTAGGTACTTGATAAGTATTTGTTGAGTGAATGTGCTACATTAGAGCTTCAGTTCAAATCCTGCCTCTGATAAGCTACGTTGCTTTGGCAAGTTATTTGACATTTCCAGGCCTCAGTTTCCTTATTTGTGAAATGGCATCGTAAAGCCTCTTGCAGAATTCTTGTGAGGATATTCAGTAAAGTATCTCAATATTACCCAGTGCCCAACAGGTCTTTAACAAGGAAACTTTCTATGATGATGTGGGAGTATGTGGCTGTCTGGGCTTCTCATTCTTCTATCTCTCATTCTCTCTTATCAGGGCAGCATCTCATCACAGCGGTTGCTGATCATCTGTTTGGGCTGAAGACAACGTCATGGTGAGGAGGAGGCATAAGACTAACTGCAGAGCATGATTCCTGACTCCCAGCTCCTTTCTCAGTATTGGGTCAGGGGGTGGCTGTCTGGTCTCATTCTTCTATCTCTCATTCTCTCTTATCAGGGCAGCATCTCATCACAGCGGTTGCTGATCATCTGTTTGGGCTGAAGACAACGTCATGGTGAGGAGGAGGCATAAGACTAACTGCAGAGCATGATTCCTGACTCCCAGCTCCTTTCTCAGTATTGGGTCAGGGGGTAGGAGGCTAAAAGAAAGAGCAGTGTTCAAAATCTGCTGTGTTCTCCTGGTCCCCTTGAGGGTGGGGGGTGGATGACCTTGTGTTTCTTAGGGGAAAAAAATTAGGATGAGCGGAGAGATATCTGCCTTTGCGTAGGAAAGAACATATAATTTTGAGACTAAAGACCTATGCAGTGTGGATCTATGTGATCTTGATCACATTCGTTACTACCCCTCAGCTGTAAGATGGAAATGACAATCCCTACTTTGCAGGATTTTTGTGAGGATTAAATAAGATAATTTATGTGGACATTCTTTGTAAACTGTGAACTTTCTTACGTTGTTACTGTTGTCATTATCAGCATCCTGTGGCTCCTCTACTTCTTCTGACAGGGAGTTAGGGCGACTCCGGAGTGTGATTGAGCTGGATAGCCCCTCTGTGACTGTAGAGCAAGTAGCTGCCATTGAGCAGAGCGTCAATGAAAAAATCAGAGACCGGCTGCCTGTGAATGTGCGAGAACTGAGCCTAGATGATCCTGAGGTGGAGCAGGTGAGGGGAGAGCCCGTGGGGTGGCTTCTGTAGAATGGCCCTCTGGGGGCTCCTCATCAAAATTCAGACAGCCCTTCTCCCTCCTCTGTGTTCTAGGTGAGGGGCCGGGGTTTGCCAGATGACCACGCTGGGCCCATTCGAGTTGTTACCATCAAGAATGTTGATTCCAACATGTGCTGTGGGACCCATGTGAGCAATCTTAGTGACCTTCAGGTAGGCGAGGAGGGGCTTCTGAATGGTTAGGAAAGAGGGTGTCAGGAGTGTGGGATCACAACAGGGTTGGGAGGGGTAGAGGGGGACAATTGGGGAGTCCTGAGCAAAATCACTCTTTTGTTGCTTCCCAACTGAGG